CTTGGTCCACGTGCGCTGCCGTCCATTGATTGTCGCCGGAGTGCCAGTGGCGCGGGCGCAACCTCCGCGTTCCGCCGTTCAGCGCTGGGGCCGCCGTTCCAACTCCTACCTCGTGTCCTCTCCTGGAGTGCGCCTCTTCGAAGGAGACCCATCGTCACGGCGCCGGCCGCCCCGATCACTGTGCCGACCTTCGCTCCAGCCGCGGCGGCACGCTCGCCAAGCCGTGTGCCCACGCCGGCCGGCCGCTCGCCACGCCACCCTCCGCGCTGGCCGTGCAAGCACACAGTGCTGGCTGCGAGCTCGCCACGCCAGCAGCGCAGGTCCGCCGCTCCGCCCTCCGCGATGGCGGCGCGCGCTCGCCGCATCTCATGTCTGATACGGCCGCCGCTCGCTGTGCAGTTCTCCACAACGGTCTCACGCGCTCGCCGCATGTCGTGCCTGCGAGCCCGCTCGCCGTGCCCTGTGCCCACACGCCGGCCAGCCACTCGCGACGCCACCCCACGCGCTGGCCGCTCGCTCGCCGTGCCTTGTGCCCACATGCCGGCCAGCCACTCGCCACGCCACCCCACGCGCTGGCCGCGAGCTCACCACGCCAGTCGTGCACACTTGCCGCGCTGGCCGTAGACATCCCGCTCGCACGCCGCCAACGGGACGCAGCAGGGAGGAGGCCCGGACGAACACGGATGAGCTGGTTCGGTTCATTACGATGGCGAACAGTAGGAAGAGCATGAGGTCAGCCTCCAGGCCTGCCGACGCGACTGCCGCAGTCACGACAGTCAACTTCGGCGCGTGGTACAGTATCGCTCTTCCAGCACAGGATGGCGGTGGTGGCGCGGCGCAGGAGGGCTGCAACAACGCAGCGCGCGGTGCCGGACAGCTGCAGCGTCACGGCGCGGCGCGCGGTGTAGGACTTGGGCAACGGAGACACGAGGTGCGGGAGGGCAGCGGGCGGCGGCTGCAGCGGCTCATCGTAGGGGCTCAGCGTGAAAAGGTGAGGCAAGTTTCTTTGAGCCGTCGGATGTTGCTTCGACGTCGGATACATACCCGAAAGTTACGTTGTGACTTGCAAGAGCAACGTTACCAAATCTCAGTGCCCCGGTAACTCCCCTCGCTCCCTCGATACCTGCCCGCTCGGCTCCCCGTCAAGGATCCGCATGCCGTGGCCAAGCCGCGAGTCCCCAATACGCGCCGCGCGCCTGCATTTTTTTTTTTTTGCTAATCATGGAGAGAAAGTAGAAGATCACGTGTCCAGAGCAGTATGATCTTCTCATCTCAGCTTAGCTCCCAAATAAGAAGTACCCAGACTTATACAAGATGGTTACAAAGCATATGATGCATGGCTCGTGCGGAGTGCTTAATCGTAATTGTCCATTCACAAAGGGTCGTGATTCCTTTAAGAATTGTTATCCCCGACCTTTCTGCGACGTCACAGTACAGGGAAAAGATTCGTACCCAGTTTATAGACGGCGTGAAGATGGTAAAAAAGAAAAGGTTTGTGGACACGAGCTTGATAACAGATGGGTCGTGCCTTACAACCCATATCTCTTGCTTCTGTTCAACTGCCACATCAATGTTGAGGCATGTGGGAGCATTGAGGCAGTCAAGTATATATTTAAGTATATTTATAAGGGTCACGATCGAGCCTCTATAGATGTGAAGGAGGCTGACAAGGAGAACAACGAAGGAAACATCGATGAGATCAAGCAGTATAGAGATGCTAGATGGGTAACCCCTCCAGAAGCCTTGTGAAGAATATACGGGTTTGATTTGAGTGAGAGGTCGCCTTCTGGTTGTCCTTACAACTCCATCTTCCAGACATGCACATGGTGTCATTTCACCACCACGAGGGGGTTCAACGAGTGCTTGACCGTCCATGGGTTGAAAAGTCGATGCTTACAACGTATTTCAATAAGAACATTACATCTGAACATGCTCATGGTATATTGTATCGAGACTTTCCTGAGTACTATTCATGAAATCCATAGGCCAAAGATTGGATTAGAAGGAAACAAAAGAAATTAAGATAGACTAGAAGAATTGTCTCTGCTAATCTAGCTGAGGAGGAGCGTTACTATCTTAGAGTTCTTTCTAAACCATGTGGCTAGTGCAACCTCCTTTGATGATCTAAGAACCATTGCCGGTGTACTCCTACCAACCTTCCGTGAAGCTTTAGAAAGAAAGGGCCTAATCGAAGCGGACAACACGCTAGACGAGAGTTTGGTTGAGGCTACTGAGTGGATGATGCCATATGCGTTGCGAAGGCTCTTTGCAACAATATTGGTATTTTGTGAGTCCAGTGATGTGTTTGGACTATGGGAGAAACACAAGGTGGCAATATCGGAGGACTATAGGCGCAACAATCAATCCAGCTTCATAGTGGAGCATATGGTCCTTGTATATATTCAAAAATTGTTACAATCAATGCAGAAGGATATAAAGATGTACCCACTTTCTGATATCGACGACACATATGATGCCTCTAGTGATATTCCCAAAGAGATTTTTGAAGAGGCTAGCATTGAGGTCAACGGGGATGATGTGGGTCTTTCAAACACCCTTAATCAGGAGCAGCGGGTTGCGTACATTGAGATTATATCTACAATTCTTTGTGGATGGTCCTAGCGGCACTGGAAATACTTATCTTTACAAAGCCCTTCTTGCTACTGTACGCATCCATAAAAAGATTATTGTGGCAACAACTACATCTTGGGTTGCGGCCTCAATAATGCCCGGTGGCAGAACCGCCCACTCGCGTTTCAAGATTCCCCTCGTCATTGATGGTGGGGCCTTCTGCAATTTTACAAAACAAAGTGGTACTGCCAAGCTACTTCGAGGTTCGAGCATCATCTCTCATTATTTGGGATGAGGCTACCATGACAAAGAGACAGGCTGTCGAGGCACTAGACAACAACCTCTGTGATATAATGGACCGGCTTGAGCTGCCCTTCGGGGGGGAGATCGTAGTGTTCGGTGGAGATTTCAGACAAGTTCTTCCCGTTGTTCGTAGAGGGTCGATGGCTCAGATAGTTGGTGCCTCGTTGCGAATGCCATACCTTTGGGATTCCATGAGACATCTCAAGCCTGAGCACAACATGAGGGCAAAGAGCGATCCATGGTTTGCAGAGTACCTGCTACGCATCGATGGAGGTTCTGAGGAGGCGAATGGTGATGTAAAATCTGTCTTCCTCATGATATATGCGTATCGTACACCGGGAAAGATAGTGATCTTGATACGCTAATTGATTGCATATTCCCCAAGCTAAATGCAAATATGTCAAACAAAGACTACATACATCACTTCTCGATCCATATTATCTACGTGAAATGACTAGGTTGATATGATTAACATGAAGATGATAGGTTGCTTCCAAGGGAACGAGATGGTATACCATAGCTCTGATTGTGCAATAGATGATCCACACAACTACTACCATTAGAAATTCCTTAATACTTTGACACCCAGTGGTCTGCCACCACATGTGCTAAAGTTGAAGATTGGTTGCCCGGTCATATTGCTCAGGAACATTGACCCTACAAACGGACTTTGTAATGGTACCAGACTTATAATGCGGGGATTCAAAAAAAATACTATAGACGCAGAAATTGTGTTGGGACAACATGCTGGAAAGCGGGTTTTTCTGCCTCGCATACCCTTATGCCCGTCTAACAATGAGATGTTTCTTTTCCAATTTAAGCGAAAGCAGTTCCCTATCCGGCTCAGCTTCGCAATGACCGTTAACAAGGCAAAAGGGCAGACTATTCCTAACGTCGGGGTGTACTTACCGAAACCAGTGTTCTCGCACAACCAATTGTGTGTAGCACTATCAAGAGCCACATCAAGATCGAATATTAGGATATTGGCCGTGCTGGCTGCTAAGAAGGACATGAACAAGGTGAGAAGGAAAGGGAAGGGAAGAAGAAACTAGCAAAGGGTATATTCACGAAAAATATTGTATATAAAGAGGTTTTAACTCCATAGAGGTAATATCTACGATTGATACATATTTTTTTCAAGATAATCAACAATATTTTAGGTCTAAATATTAACAAATAGCTTATATGTAGGACACTTTCAACACAACTAGGAGAACAGCAAGTGACTACTTAACTATTGGTGCTTGCCGAGTCAATATCCTTAGCATGTTGCTAAGAAAGTGTGGCACTTGCTTTGGCCGTGGATACACTTGGACAAAATTACTTCTCTTAGTTTCACCCAATGATCTTTATGCCTTTATGTACAACATATGGAAAATCTATTTGAGTTATATTTTAATTGTCTATCCTTTATGGAGACTTTTGTAATATTGATATTCCAAACATCACTATCGCAATATTTTTTCTTGGTAGCAGTACAGTATATATATATATATATATGTTATTATGATATTATTATTTTGATCGCAACACACGGGTATTTACGTAATGAGTATAGAAGTATCAGCGTGGACTCATCGGTACTCGTCCAGCAAAAGGCAAAATTTGGCGCAAACCGGCATCTGCCCGGGTCGGCGGCCGCCGGAATGTGCCGACATCGCGCGGGACGCGGGCGCGGAGCACGTCCGCGGTCCGCACGCTCACTCCGCTGTCCAGCTGCCCTCCTTCGGCTGACGCCTCCGCCCGTCCTCACGGCACGCGCCCACGCCGCCGCGCCGGCCCTCTGCTGTGCGCTTTGACCACCGCTTCGTCTGTCGTCTCATTCTCCTCGTCCCCAACCTGCCCCCGATCGTCCCCTCCCTTCTCGCCTACCGAAAGCAACCGCACCCCACCACGCGGATTAAACAAAGCGCGCACCTAATCAAAACACAACAGCGCATTGGCTCCTCGCAACCATATATCTCCCCTCTCGCTTGATAGGCTTTATAGCGCACACGGGCCGTGCGAGGGAGGGAGAGAGAGAAGAGAAAGGGGGAGTCGGGAGCCGATCCAACCCCTCCCGCCGCGTCCCCTCGCCGCCGTCCTCGTCCCCTCCCTCTAAAACTCTAGCGGGGAGCCAGCCGGGGATGAAGATCCAGTGCAACGCGTGCGGGGCCGCGGAGGCGCGGGTGCTGTGCTGCGCGGACGAGGCCGCGCTCTGCGTAGCCTGCGACGAGGAGGTGCACGCCGCTAACAAGCTTGCCGGGAAGCACCAGCGGGTGCCGCTCCTGACCGACGCCGACGCCGCCGGGACCGCCGCCGCGGCGCCGGCCGTGCCCAAGTGCGACATCTGCCAGGTCAGGCCCCGACCACGAGCCCTCGTCTCTGCTGTCCCTCCCTCCCTCCATTCCTGTAGCTCGATTGGGTTGGGGGTTTGGAGAATTGGAGTTGTCGCGTAGTAGCTGCCACTGCCAGGCTGGGAATTCCGGTACTGATCGTCTGATCCCAAGCTAGCACCTAGCAGGGTAGGTCTCGCCTGATGATTTGGCTAGCGAAACATATAGGCGGCTGAAGCAAAGCTGTTGTTGATGCTTCGGTCCCTAGCAAATTGCCTTACCTGGGCAGCTTCCCTTGGAATGCGGAGTCTGTTTCTAGAGCATTGGCGCAATTGCCATATCATACACTACGTTTTACTGATGATCTGACTGGGTAGTGAGTTCAATTTTAGCTCCCACAGGCTTTCCCTATCCCAGGGAAGGCATCATGATATGATCTGTCTCTGGTCCTCCAGGATATTGTAATTATGAAGAGACTGACTTGGATGTTGTACTGATGTGCCACTCCTGAGGACCCAAAGCATCATTTAGGGACCCCGTCTTTGGGGAAAAAATTTAAAGTGACCCATGATTATTACACTAAACATTGCATTAAGACTAGTACTGCTGTGCTGAACATTTATACATGTAAAAAAGTGCCAAGTGTTTTTTTTCTTATTTCAGTCAGCATACTCCAAGCTCATTCAGTACCAATTAGGTTTCATTTGTGGCTGTGCTGCTCATTAAGTAGCTTTTATTCACATTGTACTTCAAAGGGATAGGTTTTGCTGCAGTGTGCAGTGTCATAGATTGTTGAATTGTGGTGATATGGCTATGCTACAGCATGTTGCTTGTAGCTGGTGTGGTGAAGAAGCAGAGGCAAAGGGGCTTTTGCAATTGATCAAGAGTTGGGCTTTAAGCTCCTGTCTCTGCTAATCTGACATTGGAAGATGTAAATTGTTGATTGAGAGAGTACTACAAATTATCTCTTGGGACATATTAGTACATACTCCCTCCAGTACGTTTTGTTAGTTGTTAATGGGTTTTAGAAAATGTCCGTATTATTAGGTGTCTTGAGAAAAATTAAGTCTCGGACGGAAAACGAAGAGGCTGCGCTTCCTCTGTATGCATTCATGCAAATAGCTGGATTAAAACTATTGGCCTTGAGAAAATGAAGGGGTATCAGCGGCCCATGCATCCGTGCAACCATTGGTGGGAGTAACTCGTTTGCATGAGCGCAACCATCAACACCTCGTCTTGGTATTCGTTTTACTGGATGCTGCGCCTAAGAAACAGGACTGGAGGGAGTATTAGTTAGTTATATATTAAATGGATGAACAAGGCAATGGTGTGCTACTTTTGCTTCCTTGTGGTTCAATTAATGCTAAGGTGGGGTTGTGGTTTCAAAGATGAATATTATAGACTGCTGCTCTCATTTTTTTTGCTGATATGGTCATGTCCCAATAAAAACCACATATACCTTTATTTTGGATAAAATATGTGTTTTCAGAAAACACTCCAATACTTCAATTATTTATCGATCATTTTTATGCTCTAAAATTAGCACTTGTCAGTTTAAAACCAGCAGTAACAACAACAGTGCCCTTTATACCAAGCAAGTTGGGGTAGGATAGAGATGAAACACAAGATGAGCCACCAACAAGAAGAAAAAATTTCTATAAATATAAAAGTATTGAAAGGCATTAATAATAGCAAGGAGAATAATTAATGTTTGCTAGAGTTGATCATGCTGTCCTGTGTGGACCCAGGTATGAGCATGCTTGCTTCACCATGCTGCCTGGGTTACTGACCATGTGCTTGCACATGCGATCTCAGTTTGCATTTCCAGCCTTGTTTTGATGAAATAGATAAGCATTCAATCTAGTGTTCCCTGATATAGTGTGTACTAGAAATGGCCCAAGCCTCGAGGGTAGCTTTGTTAGACTACAGCGCAACTTTTACTGGAATGACACTTATGCTTAAAGGCCAATGGTGAAGATCATCCCAAATGCATGCACATAGAAGCTTTCTCTTCATTTGGTCATATATTCTTCAAATATGATTGCTTACCATTTTATGAAGGCCTGAAATATTAGAAAGTTACATAGTTAAATGTACTACAGGCTACATAAAATGGTACATTTAATTAGAGTGAATCCCAATAGGCTTTACATTGCACTTGCTCAAGTTCTCTTTTTTCACCAGCGCCGAAGAAATAGGTAATCTTCAAGACGAAAGACAAGATCGCTACACAATGCACACACCAGCTCAAGCTCAAGCTTGTGTGCGTTGCATCCCACAGTCTGATGCACATGTTTACTTGCACAAGTTCATGAAAAGACGCATGTGCACTTGTAACTACCTTGGGGAAGCTAAACACCATGTGTTTTTCTCTAATTACAACACATTATGTCCTGTCATTTTCTGTAGCCTTCACGTTTTCTGATTTTGAAAACCTGGTAAATGCGTCAACCATCAAATTGTAAATTTACTAATTCCAGTTCATGTATAGTGACGTCATTATTTTGTATCAACCTAAGTTGCGAGTACTGTATACATATAAATTTAGTTTCCTGGTGTGTTTCTGCAAGTTGCACTTGTTTGCTTCTGGTTGCTAGATGAGAACCCTTCTTTCTGCACTAAGGGCTGCTGTAGTGCTGTTGGGTACTTGGATGTGCCTTCTCTTTATACTCTACAGTGTTTTACCTATGAGTGTTGAATCACTGTATGGACGATGAGTGAACTATATTTTACATTTTGAGTTTGTTGAGCTATTGTCCGTGACAAGCTGTATCTGGATGTGGCCAACTGGCTGCAGGGGCTCAGGCGGCTGGCACAAGGAGCAAACAAGCAACAACCTTATCCTGAGTTGCTATCATTATTTGTTAGTTAGCTACTAGATCCATTTGTTAGTCTTTATCTCCTTGCTGCTAGTACATGGTTAGAAAGGAGGGCATGCGATCATTAGTTGGAACTTGGCAGACTAGAAGAATATCAATCTATTACCCTAGTCCCCTTCTCCTACCCTTACCCTTGGCTGCCGGCTGTCAGTGAGGTCACGCTGCTGGGGTTCAGGGCCATCTAGACCAGTGTTTATCACACCGATATACTTAGCTACTGCGACACAATTTGTTTTGTATGTACTGTATTGATTCCTCCTGCAAGACTGTCAAGGGCGTCGTGCCCTAGGGTGGCAGGACCTCGGCTACGGAGTTCGTAGCCGTCGGCCGTCTTCTCCGGCGAGGGTGAGCCCCCTGCCGCAGGCTTGAGAGAATTTCGGGAGAGAGATGTATTTGGGAAATCTGATATATTGCCCCCTTTTCCAGAGTTCACGTACATGCATAAATAGCCTTGGAGGCTAACCGACTAGAAGCTAAATTCTCTAACCAACTTGGACTCTTTCTATCTTTATCCAAAACCGACTCAATCTATCTACGCGTGCTCAGCCAGAGGCCGCAGCCTGGGCACCTGTGTCGCCCGGCCGGACTCCCACGCGCGCGGCGCGCTCTGCCGCGCGACGGATGTCGCGAGCCCTATGGCGCCTCACGTACTGGTGCCCGTACATGACAAAGACATTTCTCATGTTTATCCTTACTGCAGGAGGCTTCTGGATACTTCTTCTGCCTAGAGGACCGTGCACTACTTTGTAGAGACTGTGATGTTGCTATACACACAGTGAATTCCTTTGTTTCAGTACACCAGAGATTCCTGCTAACTGGAGTTCAGGTGGGTCTTGATCCTGCTGATCCAGTTCCACCTATTGCTGAAAAGCATGTTAATGCTGCTGGTGGATCAGTAAATCAACCAGCGAAACATCTGCCAAGGAGAAGCCCGACAGTTCAATTTTCAGTTGAAGGCAGTGCTTCTGTTCCAAGCAAAAATGTAACAAATGGAGATTATTCAAGGCAGAATTCTGTTCCAACAGCCAGGGCAGAAGTGGTTGATTGGACTATGAACAATAGTACAATTCGGTCAGTAGAATCCCCGCTTAAGTACATGTCAGAGGAAAGTCCAACACTTCTGCAATCTAGCCAGACCACAACAGCCTTCTCCAACCAAATTAACGGCAATAGTGATGGGGCCTACCACTTGTCATTCTCAGGTGGTAATGTGACAGACAGTCTACCAGATTGGCCTGTGGAAGAGTTCTTCAGTAACTCAGAATATGGTCCAAACTTTGGCTTCTCCGAGCATGGTTCTTCTAAGGCAAGTTACCATGTATACATTTTCCTTTTTGCCTTTCTTTCTTCCATATTATTAATAGCCTACTAGCTTCTGTTCAACTTTCAGGTCTTTTAGACTGCCGATGAACATAGGCAGCATTTCTTGATATGGATGTTCTGGTTATTTCTTGCATTATTCATGGTTGCTTATGACCTTTTACTATGATGAAGATTCAGATTGTTGTTGTAAACATGTTTAAGAGCTTAAGAGTGACATTCTTTCTGGCATTTACATGAAGAAAATTAATGCATAAGATTATTTAGGTTGAAAATTAATCTGATCTTTTCTTAACTAGCTGATGGTGAACTAGAGTTTCAGATTTGTGCTGTTGTAGTGCTAGGTTTAGTTGCTAGATTTGGTGACTGTTACTCTTTGCAATAGTCTAGGCTATGTGGATTCTGACATGATGATGATCAAGATTTCATTTTAGCGTGGCATCTGATTTGTTCATTCACTTGAAATACTTAAAAGGCAGACTATTGAATACCATTTCTCTCTTTACAGGGTGATAATGCTAAGCTGGGGAGTGCTGGTGGATCTCCACAGTGCCGTTTAGCCGAAGGCTCTGTTGCTGAGGAACTATTAGGGCAGGTGCCTGGATTGATCACAGATGAATATATGAGCCGAGCACCTGAGAATTCATGGACAGTGCCTGAGGTTCCCTCGCCACCAACAGCCTCGGGGCTCAATTGGCATGGGAATTTGTGTTTCCCTGCATATGACAGCACCATGTTTGTTCCTGAAATTACCTCCCTCCAGAACTCCCAAAATCAGTTCGCCATACCTTCCAGTTTCAAGCGCCGGAGAAGAGAGTATTGAGGTGACAATAAGATCACTAGACACGGGCTTGCTCGCTTCTGCTATACGACGCTGTTTGTGCTGCTGCTAGCTATTTGAAAATGTGTGAGCAAAGAACAGTATGCAACCACTTGCTGCGGCTGAGATCTGGTTGTGGCTGCTGCAGTGGTAGCTTACTGTCCAGTTGAGGCCATCTTGAGAAAGGTTTCTTGGTGGGCCAAATGATGGAAAAATGATATCCAGGACTGGGTGATCATTCAAACTTCAACTGAACTATCCAGTAGCCAGGTTTGAAGTGTGTTGTAATGCCTCAATGTTGTTCATTTTCCAAAGATCTGAGCTTCGCTAGTGATTTGTTTCGAGCTGTGCGGTGTCGAATTTGTGTATATACCGAAATAAAGAGGAGTACCCAGTAAGATCATTCCCGAGTACATCGCACACTGGTGGTGGCACATGAAGTTACTTCTGCAATACCATCCTTGACCATTGCTGACTTTGCGCGAGTGGCTCCAGTTTTGCCATCTGATGTCTGGGTACCCTGACCGACTGCTGTTGTTTTGCTTTCGGATCATCGGTGAGGGCAGCTCGATTAGTTATACTTTCTCCATTCCAAATTATAAGATGTTTTGTTTTTCTAGTTATGTATTTGGATGTACACTATGTCTAGATTTATAGTTAAAGTAATGTATTTAGAAAGTCTAGATACATAGTTAAAGTAATGTATTTAGAAAAAAAAACAAAACGTTTTATAACTTGGAAAGGAGAGAGTACCTGCTAGCTTTAAAGCATGTGTCTTGTATACCTTAACAAGAGCTAGTTTAAAAGACTACATGTCTATCAGTTTATCACAAATTGTGCACATAGGCTCCAATTTGGATTCGTTACCAGGCTTACTCAACCGTGCAATCACATCGAGATACATTTGAATGAGCTAGAGCTAGTTACTAATTGGGCTAAAATTAAGCATAATTAATTTAGATAGGGTAGCTAATTAGCTAATAGCTAGTTGAAGATTTAGCTACCATCTATTAGCCCTCCTCTTTGGATGGGTTAGAGCTAATTTTTAGTTAGCAAGTTGTCAAAAGGTAAATTGAGGTAGGATAGAGAGCCAAAAACCAACAAGGATCACATTTCCTTTTTTTTTTCTTGCAGAACAAGACTAAATTTGATAACTATAGACTCTTCCAACAGTTCCAACTAAATATCACCGTGACATGCATCAATGCGAAATGCATTGTGATAGGTTAACTTTCTCAGGAATTGCCGAATTGTTGTATATTTATTCATGATCATGCGTCTCAAACGGGCGCACGATTTCGTCTCATCGGAGCCGTTCAATTTTGCATCCAATGGTTTATGTGGTCTGCATATGGACCTTCCCCGAGTTCCGAGCAAATGGAAAATCGATTTGTCCGCATCTCAGGCGAACACCGCCGTGTCGGCCCCTCGTCCACCTCTCACCTCGCCGGGGTCCGGTAGCCGCGAACGATGCTCAGCCGCGCCTTCCTCTCCTCCGGCTCCCCACTCCACGGCAGGGCACGAATCCAAGCCCTGCTCCCCCAATGGAGCAGGTACGCCTCCGTGGCCTCCTCCTCGGTCCCGCCGCAGCCGCCGCCGCCGCCACCACCCCCTCCATCTCCGCCTCGAGGTCCGTCGAGGTCGGGCGGTGTCGGTCCCACTGTCTCGTCGTTGAACCCTGCAGAGGTCGCCAAGTTTGCCTCCATCGCCGAGACCTGGTGAGAAATGAGATCCCTCCTTCCTTTTGCCTAGGACGACGAGCTCCTGTGCTTTTTGGTAGATGTTTGGATGAAATTTTGAGCGTGTGTGAGCTTGGACGACGGCATGTTTAAGCAAGCGCGCGTATTTGAAGGATGGTGCTGAAACAGCCCCTGTAGCATGGGTGACAAAGTTTAACAGATTAGTTGGTCTACTGTTTCCGGTCGGATTTGAATAGAACCTCTACCATTCTTCATTTATTCACTGCCCTTGGCTGGGGGATGGATGTAGAAAATGATGCTATAACTAGTGTTGTTGGATCGCCACACATGTTTATGAATATCAGCATGTTGCTAGCTACTTTCAAGGAAGCACGCAGATTAGACTTGAATAACATAGGACTGTTCAGATAACACTGTAACTTATTCTGAATGCTAAAATTGGTAGTGAACTACAGTTGTCTCCTTGTTATACCTTATTGCTGATGGTGCTATTTCTGGAATAAACAGGTGGGATTCTAGTGGTCCATTCAAACCTTTGCATGTGATGAATCCAACCCGACTGTCTTTTATCCGCTCCACTCTTTGTAGACATTTGAGGTACAGTTCTGCACCCCTCATTTTTGTTGATACCATAGTGAGCTGCCTGAAATATACATGAAATCTACTGCCAAGCTGTATTTCTAGTGGTACAAGAATAAATTAAAGGTTGAATGTTGAAGTTATTTCATTTATCCAGCCATTTAACACGTTCATTTTACCAATCATGAACAATGAACTCTAATGTGCCTTTAATGGCGTATCTTACCATCTTAAAGCCAGAGTTAATAAATCATGCTGTTTGTGAATATCATCCCTTAAGGTGTTCCTGGTCTACATTGGCAGTGCCTTCCTATAGAATCGATTTCTTGATTGAGCCAGTAAATTACTATGCTTTAGTAGACTAACCAAATCAGTAACAGTGTCCATAAATTTGTGTAGTACTCCATTTACATGTATGTCTGGGTTCAAACTTCTTTGTTTGAACTGTAAGCTGACATGGCTTATGAAACAACACGTATTATTTGTTAAATTTTAGCTAACTGCATACTTGTGCATATTCGTTCATCCAGGAGGGATCCAAATTCATCTAAGCCACTTGAAGGTCTCAAAGTTATTGATGTTGGATGTGGAGGTGGCATTCTGTCAGAGGTAGAAAGTTTCTCTCTGTCATTATTTCTGTGAATCGCTATTGGCACTTATATAACATAGTAAAGGACCAACATTTTTTCAATAAAGGAACAAGTGCGTGGATGAAGGGCGGGCCTGGTGCAAGCGGTAGAGTCTTACCGCCTGTGACTGGAAGGTCACAGGTTCGAGTCGTGGTCTCCTCGCATTGCACAGGCGAGGGTAAGGCTTGCCACTGACACCCTTCCCCAGACCCCGCACAGAGCGGGAGCTCTCTGCACTGGGTACGCCCTTTAACAAGTGCGTGGATCATTTGGCAATAGTTATATATTATAGAAACAGATACTGACATCTAGTAGTTGCCATTTTGTTTATCCAATTATTTTGAGTTTGTATTTTGTGCAATGCGCTCATATCTTTATACCACTTAAGGGATTGAGATGGTGGTGGACTGGTTGTGATAATAGGTTCTCCCCTTCACCTTGGTGGTCTTTTGTGGATTGATCTTGTGCATGCATGAACTTTGTTCCTTGGAGGATGTCTTTGGAGAATGGGGTTATTAGTGCACACATGTATTCATATGGCTTTATACTCCCTCTATTTCAAATTGTAAGTCGTTTTATTTTGTCCTAAGACAACTTGTCTTACTTTGGCCAAGTTTATAGAAAAATATATTAACATCTAAAGTATCAAATAAATGCACTATCAAAATATATTTCATGGTGTATCTAATGAATCTTGTTTGATGTTGTAGATGTTTGTGTATTTTTCTATAAACTTGGTCAAACCTACAAAAGTGTAGGACAAACCTAAAAGGACTTACAATTTGGAATGGACTGGAGTAGTTATTTGTGGCTTATACAGTGTGAATTTCATATGTAATTTTCAGATTTAGATCAGCAGATAGATTTTAGCTTCAACATTGCTTGATGAAATCTATTGGATGGATAGGCAAGCTGGTTAAAAATTTAGGTTGAGGTCATTATCACATATATAATAATCTTTTAGCAGTGGGCATTTTGACTTATTTGAATTTTTTTAAACTAATGAAACTCCTAACAGCATTCATGTTACCTACCTGAGAGTAAGAGTCAATATTACTGATGCGGATTTCAATCATTTATCATCATCACCATCTTGTTTTGTACCTACTCTTCAGAAAAAAAGTGGTATGTAGACAACACGGAAAACGGTTCTTTATTTCCATTTTTCATTGGCTTTGTGACTTTGGATATGAAGCTCAACACCTGTGTTAGTTCAGCTCAGAACATTGCACATGCTATTACTAATTAATTTAATAGATTTTGCAAATATGGTACTGTAAGTAGTTGTTTGAAAGTGTCACATTATATCCTATTGTTGGTGTAATCCCTTTCGGGTGTTTTGAATGCAATTGTAGATTGTTAGAAGTGCTTCTTTGTGTGGTGATCAATCTGGAAAAGGGTAATAAAATAATTCTATCTTTCTGCCGGATTGCAGCCTCTTGCTCGAATGGGAGCTACGGTTACTGCAATTGATGCTGTTGACAAGAATATAAAGATTGCAAGTATTCACGCGGTATGTGCAAACTCTTGATCATGTAATTATTAGTTTAGATATGTTTGTTTGTCTCAAGAGTTATTTTGGGATCTTATAAGCACAATAATCCATAACTTCACTATTCTTCCAGTCAATGATTCTTCGTTCTTATCTTCTCAGGCATCTGATCCAACAACTGCTTCTATTGAGTATTGTTGTGCAACAGCTGGTACTACCCTCCCTCCCTGTATCTATTGTATTTCTGTTGAACAATGATAGAGGAGCTGCTGAGTTGACACTGGGAGTTTCTTTTTCCATTGACACCATACTTTGATGTAATCTTTTTTAAGGAATAAGGTCCTTAGTTCGCATATGTGGGTTAAGTTGTGCAGATTATTTGCTTTAAACTTTGCTAGTACTTAATGTGGTAACAGTCTTGATTAAGTATATGTAGGAACTAGTCATAGCACAATAGGAAGAACATTACCTTTTGAATTTTGACATGAGAATGAATTTGGATATCTAAGTTATTGATCCCTGATATTTCATATGACTGTGACTGGAGGAAACTTATATTAGAATTATTTATATGCAGAGGAACTGGTAAAAGAGAAAAGGCTG